ACCTGGCACAGCCCCAGCAGCAGGGGGCGCGGCTCAGCCCCGCCACGTGTCCTGCAGCTCCTACACCCTGTCACTCCCTACGTGCATCCCGCTGCTCCCGGTTGTGGAGCCTCTGATAGTCGATCTCAGTCTGAGGTGGGGCTAGCCCCCTCAGACTGAGATCAACTGTCAGGGGCTCCCTGATTGACTAGTTGGTGACCACTGTATTAGATGCTCCCCTTTAGAAACCTCCCCTTTTGAAAAGGTCCCCACTTGTGACCACATCCTAAGCTTGTTTTATGCAGTACCTGCACTGGAAAAATTCTCTCCACACTGGGTCAGTGCTTTTGCCATTTACTCTGCAATATATAATCTAAATAAATATTTAATCTAGAATAACTGTTTTACTGATAAAGTAAATATGCTCTTTTCCCTGGGTATGTAAGTACCGAATATCTTATTTACCTGGTTGCATAGGAAGGTTGAACTTCATGTGGGTTTCTTCGGTCTGACCAGAAAAAGAGTAATCTGTCAAAAATGGGCTCAACGTCTGCCACATAGGACTTTCCTTCTGGGAATATCCGAAGTATTCCGCCATGCAACTGAAAGCAGAGCAAAGGTTATTTTTCTACATATGTATACCCATAAGCACATTTAAAAAAAAAACCCAACTGCAAATGTGGAATAAAAGTTTAGTTCAATACAAAGACAGCATATTACATTGCTGGAAAACTGTGTACTGTATCACTAAAACCAATCTGATTTTCCAAACTCTTCAAAACGATTGAATGTTAATATGTGGTGATAAAGGAAATCCTTCAAGATGAAGAAAATTTGCTATTGAGAAGCAAGTCCCCCACTAACAGAGACCTGACCTTGTTGCAAAGATGATGAAACTTCTCAAGTTCAGTTTTGTTTCTAAAATTAGTTAAGACTCATAAGAGAAGCAGCATATTTATTCTTTACTGTTGTGAAATAAGATTTCACTGAACTGCTTACAGTGATTTTGAAGGCCTCTTACTGAAATCTGACTGGAATTATCTTTTATGTTCTGCAGTATAACATGCATTGGATACAAATCTTTTCCTGTTTCTAAAGTTGTATTAATGTTTTTGTTCATTTTCCCTTTCAATTTCCTGACCGCCTGTGGTCTCTTTAGCCTGATTTCACTCTCAGCTCATCTATCCCTGTTTTCCATCAATCTTATGGGAAAAATTTACATCCCTCACTGGAAGTGCAAAGGTGGAAAATCTTTGCAGTATGTAGGCCAAGTCATCTCTCTGCCAGTCCTACAACTCAAGTTTACTCAAGTAAATTAGATATTTGTACTTTTTTCCATTTTACTAACTACAATTAACTATTATTCCCAAGATACTGAAGCTAAAGAAGTGTGCTCGTATATCATACAGCATTCTTCAGTGATGGCATCTGTAATATTAAATCACTTTTTTTGGTTTAGTGCACAAAGCTGGTTATCAGTTAAATGGGCAGCTGCTTAATGTGACCAAGACAGGTTAAAGAGAAGGTGATCTTAGTATTATCTGACCAGGTAATAACCTGAGAACATGCTGGAAAGTGTTCTAATAATAGAAGCTTAAAGAGAGATTCTGTGATTTTGAGCCCTTATCTTGTTTATAACTTAAAGTATAATAAATCCCCTCTCAAGGCTGAATTCATCGCCTTGCAGTATACAATGAGAATTGAAAACCAGATTTCCCTGCGGTACAAAGAAAGCCAGAGAAGAGGACTAGAGAGGTAGGAAAGCTCTGCTGGTTTCCCCTATGAAGTATACTGCATGGCATTCCTTTGTGGGAAAGGGATTTAGGAACCTGCACTTTCCAGACCCAAGAACCTAGAGAATCTGTGGAAAAGGAAGTCTCCAAAGAGTTACTGAGGCAAGAGCTCTCTGCTCTTGTCTCACTGATGCCCCACCAGTGTATTCTCCTCTCTCCTGCACTGGCTTTGTAGAGGAAATGCAATGGACATGGAATTTAGTAGGGCACGGTATCAGAAAATATGGCTAGCCCTGTGCTGCACATCTTCTCACCAAACCTCAGGCACTCAACATAGTGCTCTTATAGAGAGGCATCACCTGGAGTACAGAGGAGATCAGACAATGCTTCAGAAGAGCCTTACTTCTTCTCTGTTCCTAGACATGCACCCATAGAGAAATGGGGCTCCTTCTTACATTCAAACAAAGATGAAGCAAGGACAATTTAATCTGCCTCCACAGAACCAGGGCTCTATTTTGCCATTTTAGGCATAATACATATTGCTGCTTCTTTCCCCTGCATTTACAGAGCTAATCATGCTGACCAATCATAAGCCACTGACCACTCATCAGCTCTAAAATGCTGCTGCCTCCTCAGTTCTTGCCCCTAGGCAACCTCCCAATTTGTTCACAAGAAGAGGCCAGACCTGGAGGGAATTCTATGGAAGGAGGTTCTAGTCCCAGAACCAAAAGTCTGCATCTTACATGGTCAACCTTCTCACAAGACATATTTAGAGACAAAACACACAAAGTATCTGCACAGTAACATAACGTGAGGGGTCCACAAAGCATTGAGTTCACTACAGACCCATTACCCAATGTACACATTGGTATTTTGGTTCACCCATAAAGAAACAAACCACCAGGAGAAGTTCAGCTAGGTGGTAGTGACTAATGATAGCAAAGTCAAAACCAGAAAGCTGAAACCTGATAACTGAAAGATAAGTGAAACCAAGCATCTGGTGTGCAGCGTTCCCTCTAAGCTGCGGCGTGTGTGAGGCCGCACAGGTGTGTTCGTGCCACGCTGCCAGGCACACCTGCACGGCCGCGCACACCAAGCAGCTTAGAGGGAATGCTGCTGGTGGGACAAGGATGCCACAGAATTCTAATTTTCCCATGTTCCCTCTGCCTGACTGATGCAAAGGCAAGAAGGAAATCCATCCTGAGTAACATTGGCCCAATCCTCAGTTATATCACTCTTGTTCTAAGGGCAGGAGACAAAATGTAGCTGTAAGCTAGGGGTATGCAAAGCGGGCCTCATTCAATTCCGATTCGGGGGACAGTGATTCAATTTGTTGATTCGGATCACTGTCCTGATTTGATTTGGCTGAATCCGAATCTGAAGATTCGATTTTGATTTGGAGAATCAGCTATTCGGCCATAGATATAGCTTAATATTTTTTCTACATACCTTGAGGTAGCAGGTACGGCTCGTGAATGTTGAGATGGTGGGGCAGATGGAGCGTTCCACAGGAGCATGGAGGGGCCCCCTGCATGCTCGACAGCAAACCCGGAAGTGGACCAGATGTACTTCTGGTCCATTTCCGGATCCACCACTGAGCACATGGTGACCCCCCGCCGCCAGTCAGTGATCAGCTGGGGGTGGGGGGTGCCCCTACAGACCCAGGAGGCACCAGTTACTGAGCCGAGGGGCAGAGGGGATCCTCTGCACGCTCTACGGCAGACCCAGAAGTGGATCACTTCCGGGCCTGCCACCGAGCGCACAGGTGACCCTCTCCCCTCCCCCCCCATAGGATGCTCCATCTGCTCCACCATCTCAGCATTCACGAGCCACCTGGTACCTTGAGTTATGTAGGAAAAACATATAAAGCTGTGTCTATGTCCATATCGTCGAATCTCTCCGAATCGAATCAGAGGGTTCCAATTCATTTTGGAGAAATTAATGGGTCTCCCGATTCAGCCGCCGAATCAGGCCAAATCTCCTCCGAATCGAATAAGCAACCGAAGCTTTGCACAGCCACCTTTCTGCTGTTGACATTCCAAGGCCCTGCAAGTCCCTGCCTGACTCCAAATAAGCCAGAATAGCAACAAGGTCATGCTCTCACAAGTACATTGGTGAGGGGACTGCAGGTCCTTGACCACCTGGGTGACAGTGATCATTGCCTGCTGGAATTCACCATCCAGCGCAGGGTGTTGAGGGCTTATACTGTGACTAAAGCCCCTGACTTCAGAAGGGCCAACTTCAATGAATTTAGGAGAATAGTGGGGGAGGCACTGAGGGCCCAAAAGGTAGAGGAGATGGGAATCCATGAGGGATGGTCGTACCTTAAGGGGATGATCCTCCAGGCTCAGACTGTGAGAATCCGTGAGAGAAAGAAGGGGGGTAAGAGTGCTCTGAAACCTGCATGGCTCAGCAAAGGCATTTGAGAATGCCTGAGCGCCAAAAGGGAGGCGTACACGCGGTGGAAGAGAGGGGCTATCACCAAGAAGGAATACTCCTCCTAGGCCCGTGAGTGTAGGATGGCCATTAGGAAGGCCAAGGCGGGGGTGGAGCTCAGGCTAGCGACCAGGATTAAGGACAACAAAAAGTCCTTCTTCAAATACATTGGAACTAAGAAGCAAGCACTGGGTAATGTAGGGCCCCTGTTAGACTCAAATGATAATCTTGTGGCTGGGCCAGATGAGAAAGCTGAAATCTTTAACAAGTTATTTGCCTGTTTTCTTGGACAGGGAACAGGACAGCTCTCCCACCACATGTAGGGGCAATCCTGAGGATAGCACTGCCAGGCCTCGGGTCTGCGTAGAAGTAGCTAGGGATCTTCTGGAAGGGCTGGATGTTTTCAAATCTGTGGGCCCCGATACCCTCCACCCATGGGTGTTGAGGGAGCTGGCGGGGGTCATTGCTGTGCCCCTGGCCCAGCTGTACGAGCGATCGTGGTCCACGAGCCAGGTGCCTGGAGACTGGAAAGTAGCTAATGTGGTCCCCATCTATAAGAAAGGGAGGAAGGAGGACCTGGGAAACTATAGGCCCATAAGCCTCACATCGGTCTTGGGGAAAATCCTTGAAAAAAACATTAAGGAGCACATCTGTGAGAGGCCAGCAGGGGAGATCATGCCCAGAGGTAATCAACATGGGTTCATCAAAGGCAGGTCCTGCCAGACCAACCTGATGGCCTTTTATGACCAGGTAACTAAATCCCTGGATGATG